TCTGATTTTTACGAAATTCAAACTCAACCATCATTATGGTGCAACGGTGATATATTGAAACGGTTTTTAAAATCAGATAAAAATTATGACCTCTAGAGGGTCCAATAGCTAAAAACGCGATTTTTCGTACAATTAGGGGCCACAATCCAGGAAGTTACGATCTGATATGCGCAAATAGCGAAAAGAACCAAAATATTTGGGACATAAAGATATGTTTCAAGTTCCATCAAAATCGGATCAAAATCGTGGCCTCTAGAGAGTCCACAACAATTCAGTGTCACTGTTACGAGCAAGAATAATACGTATAGTGAACTGTTTTCATAGAAGTACAGTAGCTGCTGCAGTACATACATGCATTTAAAGAAGTACAGGAACGCCAATAATTACCAAAACATAAGTTAGTGATAGATGTTACGGTGGCTGATAAGGGACATGAAAATAATTTGGTTTTTTTTAATTTTGACCCAAGTCAATTTTAATTTTCACCCAAGTCAATTTTAATTTTCACCCAAGTCAATTTTAATATAATTTGTTTTTTTATAATTTTTACCCAAGTCAATTTTAATATAATTTGTTTTTTTATAATTTTCACCCAATTTTAATATAATTTGATTTTTATAATTTTCACCCAAGAACTTCCACCCAGCGCGTGACGTCATCTCAATTAGCCTCGTTTCCAAAACGACCATTTTGTCCGGCAGTTTCGATCAGGGCCCTGTTTCACGAAATTTTAATTAAAGATAAAATCCAGATTTTAGTAGATACTTCAATTTTGATTGGCTAAGCACTAAAATCAATCTAATATTATCCAATAAAATTACTAAAATTTGGATTTTATCTTAGTTAAAATTTCGTGAAACAGGCCCCTGATTTTCAGAAAATTCGAACTCAATCATCATTAGGGCGTAACGGTGATATATTCAAACGTTTTTTTTTTAAATCGGATACAAATTGTGACCTCTAGAGGGACCACAAGCTAAAAACGAGATTTTTCGTACAATCAAGGGTCGTAATTCAGAAAGTTAAGATCCGATAAGCGCGAATATCGAAAGAAACCAGATGATAATTGTGACCTCTAGAGTGTCCACACGCTAAAAAAAAAGTGAGACTTTTTGTACAATCAGGGGCCATAATTCATGAAGTTTCAATCCGATACATGCCAATATCGAAAGGAACCTAGATCTTTTGGGGATAAACCTATATATTTCAAGTCTCGTCAAAATCGGATAAGAATTGTGACCTGTATAGTGTCCACAAACAAATTATGGATGGACGTCCGGACGGACAGGGGTGACGACAATATACGTCCATATGAAAATGTGGGCGTATAAAAATATCTATTTGATATAAGGTAAAACATAATACATTGCAATCTGCTAATTACAGTACGAGAACCATATAAGATAAAACATAATACATTACAATGGAAACGAGGCTAATTGAGATGACGTCACGCGCTGGGTGGAAATTCTTGGGTGAAAATTATAAAAATCAAATTATATTAAAATTGACTTGGGTGAAAGTTAAAAAAAAACAAATTATATTAAAATTGACTTGGGTGAAAATTATAAAAAACAAATTATATTAAAATTGACTTGGGTGGAAATTAAAATTGACTTGGGTGAAAATTATAAAAAATATTATATTAAAATTGACTTGGGTGAAAATTATAAAAAAAAAACCAAATTATATTAAAATTGACTTGGTTGAAAATTAAAATTGACAACCTGCTGTATATGCAGTTCTCACATCTAAAGAATTGCGTGGTAACTAGAAAAAATTTCTACCCTATCGGAAAGTGATATTACATCTGCCGAAGAATTGGTATCTGTTTTAAGTCAACTTAAGATAGCTACCACAGCCCTCTGTGACGAAAACACCCCAACTCTTTCCATTATAATGCCATTGGTGGATAGATTGTTAAATGAGATTATGAGCCCAAAGGAAGGCGATACACATTTTGATATATCAAGAGGGTCCACAACCTTGATATACCATAATTTTTACACTATTTGCGTACAAGGGGCGGCCATTATGTCCGTCAGTTTTTGTCCGATTTTCACGAAATTTGAACTCAACCATCACTAGTGTGATATATTCACACGTTTGTTTTTTTCAGTCGGATAAAAATTTGTGACCTCTCAACAAGCATGTTTAAATGAAATCTCTTCTTACAAGAAAGAGCCTGCTATTGATGCAAATTCTAACCCTCTGCACTGGTGGAAATTTCTGGAGAACAAATTCCCATTACTGTCTCTTGTTGCCAAACAATACTTAGGAACTTCTGCAACCTCAGTGTCATCTGAAATGGTTTTCTCCACAGCAGGGGATATCATCACTGCACAGAGGTCTGCACTTAAACCAATCTTTAAAAAAAAAAATTGGAAACCTAAATGCTAGCTACTTCATGTGTACTGATCTGATAGCCTAAAATATTGTCATCCGTCCATATACCAGATCCACTGATGTTTTTTGTTACGTTTTCTGTTACTACTAGATAAACTATTGCCTAGAAATTTCTAGTGTTTCATTGATTTTAGTTTGATTAAAGTTTTAATAAATGTATACCTGAAAGTTTGTTTTAAACCTAAACTAATAAACAAATCAAACTATCGCAATATTCCAATAGTATCTCAATATTTAATCCCCAACAGTAATAGTATTGCGATAGCTGTTTACCCAATAGCAATACTATCGCAATGATGAAAATTACCAACAATAGTCAACCCTATTGGGCAGTGTGGCCAGCGTCGTGTCTTCCAAGCGCCTGGTTCCTCTGAGCTGTCGTGAGTAGTGGCATGCTGCCGACATTGCAGTGTGAATGATTCAACGAGGTATGGGGGTGCATTTTATAGGGCTGGTCCCGGTGAACAGCACGTGCAGCATGAGTTACATGAAAATCATTGAGAACACATTACCATCTCAGAAGTCAGGTTGCGTTTTTGAGAACATTTCCTGGGTTCAGTTCTATGTTTGGGAAGGAGCCTCATTGCTCAGGTAAAGTTGGAGATGTGATCACAAATACACAATAAAAACATTTGGCAAGTTTGATGCGCAATGCGTCTATTCAGAGTAACATACCAACCTGACGTTTCTTTTGCTGCTTAGTATAGTTAACCAAGATACAAGTTTTGTATATTGAAGGTTGGTGGGGGGAGGGGGCGAATGGTTAGCGCATGAACGTTGTGGCATAAGGTCTGCCATTGAGTCAACTGGCGTAGTTTCGATACCCCGGTTGTACGGGTCAAAGCAGTAGGGTCGCCTGTCCAACCTCGTGGGTTTTCTCTGGTTCCTCCAGTTTCCTCCCACTGCTAAAAGACCCCTACACGTAAGCGAATTATTGAAATAAAATTAAACTATATGTTAGACCAGAAATGACCTAGTTTGTGTCGAGTGGACGTTAAACCCATTCTCTCTATATATATTCAACGGTTGTGATGAACTAATTTTGCCGGCGTTTTATGAATATAAAATTACGATTATATAGAACTTGTCGTTTGACAAGATTATCCAGTCGTCCAATAAAACCTTACAAGAAACGTATAGGACGTAGACTGGGAAAGATTATATGGTAGGGTACCCCGTGCAGCGAAAAGTATCGCTACAAAAAGTTGAATTCGACACGGCGAATGTGCTTGCCTGGAAATGATTTCTGGTTAATCACGCTGTGCGATAACAGAGTCTATGAGTCTATAAATAGTCATCCCACGTGAAATTCTATACACATATATCATCTATTTTTGACGATTTGGTTATTACAGCAGCTTTAGAAATTACGTTCGTTTTTTTAAAAATTGTTTTATCATTAGGAGTGGCATCTTTTGGTTTAGTACAAATATCAGGGAAGTTAACGAAGGCACATATGACGAAGGCGATGTAAAAATCGTTGCTAGATCAGATCAAGTGTCCTGTGAAGTTACTCTCCCGACAACGTCCATCAAACTAACAACCTCTATGACTGTATCAGGTGCCACACCCTACATTACAGCTTCCACGGAATATTTGCAGTTTTTTTTCCCAGTAGACTGCATCCTCCCAATAGTCGCTGTAAACATAAAACTTAGTGCATTTGGTTTTAAACTGCCAATACGTGGTTACTTGAACATACTGTGTAAGGTGTTGTCGGATGCCGGCGTAGTATCGATTTGGCTTTCGTGACGAAGGATTAGTTACAATTTGACACGACGTAGTGTCATATTCTCTTATTTTGTGTTGAGATGGACAGACCCCCAGAAGGCCTTGTGACACGAGCCGATAGTGTCACATTATTTCATTTACGTGTTATAGAAGCCCGAAAGATTATATTCTTAACAGTGAAAAGTTTTTTCATTTGCGAATGCTCAATCAAAATATTTGTACTCCATAATACACCAGGGCCCTACCAAATCTTAATCCTACCCCGCCATTATAGCAGTATTTCATTATATAGCGCATAAAAGATATAGTTGAAATTCACGTATACAAAGTTTTATTTATTTTGAAAACAATTTCCCATCCGAATGCCACGAAATGAGAATTAGATGTATTATTGGTTAACGCGCAGTAATTATAATTTACAAATTAACATTGTCTATTCAATAATGATCGTTCACCAAGATTTAGACATATTTTTAATACGCAAAATTATACATAACAAATAAATGAATGTTATGGAAAGACAAGATAGAAGTTGTCACACGATTGATATTTTATGGAACACTTTATTATTGTCTGAAGGTTAAGCTTCGAAATACGTCTTAACATTTATGGAAGATAAGAGGGCTGAAAAATAGCACAATGCTGGCAACGGTCTAAGTTAACATTTTATTTATCGCTCAGGACAATATCATAATGCTAGCGAGTGCATTAGTGAAAGGTTTCGTGAAGCAGTGGAGCCCTTAAGACTTTTGGCTCTGTTTATTAACATTTACACTCAATATTGATCAGTGTTATTGATTGGTTACTAGTCTTTATCCCACACTCTAGTCATCTACGCAGTTCAAACCTCACTGCGCACAGTATTCGCAGGTTTACCGAACAGTAAGTGCTGTAAAATGATTAACCAACCAATATAAATGCTCAGCCGGATGTGGTGTTAAGTTATAATATTACTTTAAAGTTTAATGTGTTCTGTGTATCGACATATCTCAAATTGTTAAGACTGCAAACTATAAAGCTGGAATATTAAGATAGTCTCTCCGGGCGACTTAGGTGAGTAAAACTATTTTCTCTACTCAGTAAATCTTTAACAGAAGTCCAGAGAGAATTGATACAAATTTACAATATCATGAAAGACTTGACGAAGAACCGTAGCGTTTAATTAAAAATTCTTCTCAAATTTGTTTCTTTATAGCTATATATTTAAAATTCGAATTTATGATCTGTACACGACTATGTCGTATTTTGCCTGCGGTCTCTTAAATAAAACATGCATTTTTTAAAATTTATTTATAGCGTTAATATTTTTTTTTATTAATAATAAGAGAAATTCCTGTGTCATAAATTTTGAAAGGATTCTACATGTATATTCCACCTAACGAAGTGATCCAAGTTATTCTCGCAAAACCGCTAAATATTCTTTGAACACTGTACAACATTATCACAAATGTATTTACTGAAATAATTGTACATCTGTAAAACAAAAATATGATGACTCTATCTTCATTTATTTTTGAATTTCATGATTTCCAACTATACTTAAAATTTTATCGCATATGAGCAGGGGTGCATCTCCATATACGTTACCTTAAAGTTTAAGATATTCACAAACCCGAAATAAACCGAAACTAACATAAAACGGTCATTTCGAATCAAATCGGAAACGAAAATTGTGACTGGGTATTTTACTCTTTCTAGGACATCTGGTCCTACTGCGGTAGTGGGCATTATCATTTTTTTAATTACCCATTTTAATTACTATTTGTTGGATTTATTACGTACATCTAACAACGGCTACTTATCTTTGTGTTCGGGTTGAGCTAGTGTGACTGAAAATCATTCTAGGCATATAGCAGGAAACAACAGGTCACACCATTCCACGATTCTCGCACATGTACTAGTCCAGTCAAACTAAGGGTTGACATAGAACAAATTGTAACAGATTTCTTGGTATCGCTGGGTTCGTGGGACCCTCCTCTACATCATATCCAACTTCTATGATTTTCGGGACGGGGGTTTTCAAAATGGCCGCCAAGTGTACCGGTGGAGCGTCATAACTCCTTTACTATTGCGTGTTCACCGTACAAATTTATTACATATAGCAACTTGACCCCTGCGAGCCAGAATATCTAATCAGAAATTATCATAATCCAAAGCCCTATATAGGGCTTTGCATAAATCAACCTCATGACGTCAACATAAAAGTTTCAAACACTTATTCATCTCCTTGGAAGAAGTCAACTGATAGAAATTGAAATGAGCATTAAATTAAAACAATAAAAATATAGATATATCAAGCTTTTCAGAATAAAATTATCGTTTTCCTACACTTGGTTAGGTTTGGTTACCAAAAATAAAAATAAAAACCCGATAGTGAGGTTTGTGACCCCGCCTTAGTCCTAAAACAAATAGATGACACATATTAATTACTTGCAGTTATCTTCTTGTAAACCAAAAGCAATCAAATTTAGCCTAAGCAGAAGATGTCCATGGCGAATCATAGTCAAGGTTTTGATATAGTGAAACTATACACCATGTTTCATCATTCTCACTTAATTAGAATCAAAGTTGACCCATCACAAAGCATCGACCAATCAAATTGCTTATCTCTGTTTAGCCTCAGTGAAAAATGTTAATCATCGAACTCAAGACCTAAACCGAAAAATGTTAATCATCGAACCCAAGACCTAAACCTAATGAACACCTACGTACATCAAGTTTGAACATTTTACCTCCATTGGAAACAATCAAATTGCTTATAATTAATTAGCCTAAGCAGAAAATGCTCAACATCAAACTCAGTCAAAAGAGTCAAGTAAAAAACCCATAACATCCATTTTGAACATTCTACCACAATTAGAAACAATGTTGTATGACGCTGGAGCATTATTAGGTCACCCTTTCAGTCCTAATTTGAAAGTATAGTTCTAATGACCAGGCACAATCAAATTACAGACTCGTAATGCGTCAACAAATAAAATAAATAAGTGCTTAAATGAGTGAGTTTGAGGATAATGTTCTATAATGCTCATCCGTTCAACATTTTGCAAGTGTATTATATTACAGCAGTTCAATTTAATGAGTGCAAAAAAGGGCTTCCCGTGAAAAAGTCGAATTTTCCCTGTAGTTTGAAAATATTAACAAATATCTTTATCTGTAAGTATTCTCTTTGAATTTAGCAGCATATGGTGGTAAAGTATAATATAATTGTTTTATTTTCTCACTTAACCTTATTATCGAAAGGACTGCAACTTTTGCGCGGCTGAACCTGTAACGGGTTATTCTTCTAGGGTAGGTTTTTTCCCCCATAAGACAACATGATATAAGGTTCTGATATATTCTCATTTTACGTACATGTACATGTAAACATAGACGGTTTACAAGCAAGATAAAGTCCTCGACTTCGGTTATGCTGGGAAAGTTTCCCCAGCATAACTACATTGGTTATTAAAATCCGCTGACCGTTCTTGCTATAATAGATCAAAAATAGATAATGCAAAATGAACATATTGAGAATTTCATTCAAATTACTTTTTTCTGAGCCAAGTTGTCACTGTTTGTAGATTTGACAAGATGTGTGCATTGATTATTATCGTTACCACGGTGCTGGTATATTCGAGACTTAGTCCCGCTTCTCCATTTAAAATTAAATCATTAAATTGCCGAACCATGCTAATCTAGTTGAAATCTCGGGCACCCGATGGCATCAAGGGTTGATTATGATCTTGCCATGTTAAAGTTACAATTTCATATTTTCTAAGAAAGTCAAAACATAATTATTTCTATGACTTTTGCTCAATAGGTTGTCAACTCACTATTATAAGATCATAGGTGTCATTCTCACACTTAAATCTCATTTACACCGGAAATAATAACATAATTACCTCCCAATTACCTCCCTTGTTTCTATTCTCCACCATGGAGTAGCTATCCTCAAACGTTTGAATTTGAAGAGGAAAATGATATTTTTGTTTTGCCAATTTCTCAACTGGCAATAGTGAATTATAGGATTATTCTTTAACAAGGTAGGACTGTTTATACATACCATCTATTTTAAGGCTTTATTTTAATAAATTTTAAAAATATAACGTAAAAATATTTAATTGCAACTTTAATAAATGTCTAATTATTAATTTATAAGGCCTAAAGAAAGACCTTCAGTAGGCAAGTTTAGATCTTGAATATTGTATCTTTGACTATATCCCATCTTATAAAATAGTTCCCTCTTGACAAGTCAATGTTTTACTTTACTTTCGAAAGAGATCATCAAAACATGGCACATGTCACGTGATGAACGAAACCAGCGGAAAGGGGGAGGGTGTAAAGTTGGGCACATTTTGGCAGCCGCAAAGCGCAATAATTTCGATCGTTTGAATTTGGGCAACTAAAACTATCAACCGAAGGCAATTACATTGCAGATTTATATTGAAACAACTGATCGTCAGTCTACTAAATTTAATTCACAATGTATATATGACCAGGAGTGGCTGGAAGGCTTTAGTCCCTCGAACCATCTGGTTTCCTTTGGGCCCCCATTGCGGCGAAGAAGTTTTGTAGATTGAGAAAACGAAACTAGCTTGATTCACCTTTCCCGCACCACACTCACAGATGATGTTTCTCCTCGGATTTAGCTAAGGTCATTATATTTTCAATGGTTGCGAATATAAATTTATTTATTTTGAAAAACAAATATTTTTTTATCTGAGCTCTCGGATCACGTCCTACTGTCTCAGGCCAAGTCCATTCCTGTATATCACTGTCACCAATTACACTCGTAAATATATTCTTTATCATTAATTATTGCTGATAATGTAAATCCCTACTCTACTCTCTAATCAAATATTTCAAGCCGTAAAGCAAAACACACAAGTGTACAAGCTCGCTTTTGTCATGGTATTCTGTGCTCCGATATAGCATTATTTATGTAGATTGCATCTGAAGTCCCAATCTATGACCGCCTAATTTCTAGATTTCGGAGTATGGGTACATAAATGAAATGCCGAGAAAAATCTAGTTAAGAGTCTACGGAGACTGGGCCTGCGAAGCCGGTCGCCAGCAAAGACTGAACGAAGATGTAATGCGCTACGGCGAACCATTTCTAAAATCACACTTCCTCAACACCGAACCGAGGCTAATGGCGTAGAGCCACACACATTTTCGATAGAGTCGGTGAGTGACGTAATTAGCTTCCATTTTGGTATTTCTCGATGTCCAAGTTTGTAAGAAGTTGAAGAGAACTTAATTATACGCTGGGATATTCTAAACACACAGGTAAGTTTTAAATAACCATTATTAAGTAGTTTGTTCACCCAGCAGATTTTAATCTCAAATACGTTGTCCTATAATTATAAATTATCCAATACTCAAATATTGGAAATTAAAACAATAAAAAATTAGATAAATAAAGCCGTTCAGAATAAAATTATCGTTTTCCTACCCTGTACCAATAATAGAAATAAAAAGCCGCCAGTGAGGCTTGTGACCCCACCCCTGTCCAAAAGCAAAAAAATAACACATACTAAATAATTGCACATTTATCCTTTGCGCATCATCAAACTTAGTCAAGGTATTGATGTATTTGGGAGCTACAGTGCCTAAGTGAGTAAGACGCTACCTCACTAGCCTGGAGTTCGCGGGTTCGCTCCCGGTGTTGGCCAAGAAAGTTCATCGGGATTTTTCGGCGTAGTTTCTCCTATTCAGTGGTGCCGGACGGAGGGCCTGACAAGGACAGCTGTCTAGTCGTTTGTATAGGACGAAAACCCGATGTCCCGTGTACACAAAGGATCCCTTGGCAGTAGGATTTCGATATGAGTAGGCTAAAGCGCCGCTGCCCGGGCAAAATTTCCCTCATAGCACGTCAATGTATACATGGGACCTCGGCCAATGCAGGGATCGAACACGCGACCACCAGGCTAGGGAGCCAGCGTCTTACCCACTTAGCAACCGTGGCTCCCTGAAATCAAAAGTAATGGAGTAAATATTTATGATGTAATGTAACACTAGTGTAACTCTTTTCCTACCTTTTGACCCCAAATAAAGATAAAGGTTTTAAT